CCAAGAAAAAAGTCCCTTCAACACAGCGGACGGCGTAAAAAAATTGTTGGAAAATGTTAAAAATAACAATGCTTTTTTAACGGAAATTAAGTCTAAATACCTAGTTGCTGACCTTTCAAGTCTAATCGCCAACAAATCTCCTCGGGAAGTAATAATTATTATTAAAAGGTTTGAATACAATGAGCTGAGTGTCCGTGATAAAAAAATAAAGGATAAAAAAATTAAGGCCTATTATAAGCAATTAAACCAACTTACTGAGGGTAGAGAACTAACTGAAGAACAAATCAATGAGTATCTTCATAAGCAAGCCATTGGCGAGATAAACGAAAATTCAATTAAAGTAGAAAACGAACAAAAAAATATCAAACCTTCCGAAAACAATTTTGTTAAAACCGCCAAATTAGTTGGAATTATTTTTCTTATTTTGGCAGGAGGAATTCTCCTTGCTCTATTTATTAAAAAAAGAAAGCAATTAAATAGGTAATTTTTTGCTAGCCAGTAAAAATTATCATATGCTTATTAAAACTGAGAAAATCCGCAATTTTTCGATTATTGCTCATATTGACCACGGCAAATCGACTTTGGCCGACCGCTTGCTGGAATTAACTAATTTAAAAGGTAGTAATAAATCACTGGAAAGAATACTCGATAGTCTTTCCCTGGAACAAGAAAAAGGCATTACCATTAAATTAAATGCCGTTCAATTGTATTATCCGTCGGAAAGCCCTGAACCTTATATTTTTAATCTGATTGATACTCCCGGACATGTTGATTTTATGTATGAAGTTTCTCGCTCGTTGGCTGCTTGCGAAGGGGTAATCCTGCTGGTAGATGCTACCAAAGGTATTCAGGCTCAAACGTTGGCTTATTATGAAATTGCCAAAAAACTTAATTTAAAAATTTTACCAGTTATCAATAAAATCGACCTACCTCACTCCCAAGTGGAAACTGTCCAAAATCAACTAATAGAACTTTTGAATTGTTTGCCGGAAGATATTGTTTTAATTTCGGCTAAAACTGGTAAAAATATTGATTTGCTCCTGGAAAAAATTATTACTGATATTCCGTCTCCACTGGAAAAAAAAAATAAACTAAATAAAATTAGTTAGGCTAGCAAAGTAATGCGATTTGTGTAGCAAGGTAAGATTTGAAACATAACAAATTGATCCTAAATACGGTGATTAATTAATTGAAAAAGGTGGAGTTAGAAAAGCCTGCATTTAGATAAATGACTAAATGGCCAACTTCACAATTTGCTTTCAAAGTTATTAGCCAAAAGAAAGGCGAAATAGACCAAAGAGGAAATTACGAACGAACATGAATTAGAAACTAAGCTTTTTCGTTAAGAATAGAAAGATTGCCAAAAATTACGCAAATTGTTTTTGATTTTAGTTCTCCTGAGCCACGGCAAATTGTGTACGTTAATTTTTTGGCTTAGTTTTCGGTCCTATCTT